GTAGAGGCGAGCCACACAGAAACAAGACATGCACATCAAAGCCGACGTAAGGCGGAATTCCGTTGGTAACTGAGAACGAGAAAGGCTATAACGTATCTCAAGAGATCTCTATCGTCATACTCGTGAATTCCACCGTTCACCAAACAGCCACACTCGCATCAACTCGAAACTACTTTACCACACAGCACAACATCTACAGCATTTCCAGGTCAAACTAGCTGTCAACTGACGTTTCTCAACTTCGACGTTTCACATTTTCGATCAATATTTCACGCATGGTTCTAATAAAATACCGAGAATGTTGCTATTATACCCGATCTATCTGAAAAATTGAGTTGAGTTAGGCAAGGACGCAATGATCACGCGGCTGGGGGTGTGATCGAGAATCGTCAGCATCTCTACTACATCGTTATTCTCTTGTATCTTCACTATATCGTATGCTATAACCGATCCAAGTGAATGCCCCAATATCGAAACTCGCGGTCTTGGATGCCCCCGTTGATCTACCGTCGCCATACACTCAGTCAACTGCAAGGCATATAGTGATATGATAAACGGGGGTTCGACTGACCGCTGTATTTATACTGCTGATGACACCTCTACGAATCTTGCTCTCGTATATAGGAGACTGGTAGAACATCACGTCTGCCGCTACGTCATTAGCAAGGGAGCCTGAAAGAATGGAAAAATAAATCACCTCTCAGGTGAAGCAGAGAACTCACGCAAGAGAGGGACTGAGCGCAGCGTTATGTCCTTGATACGGCCAACAAGGTCTCTATCATCTTCGTGGATGATATTCGCCCACACCACAGGAATGCATCTAAAATGCTCCTATGCTTCGTTAGAGCAGATCCTGGAAAATCTCACTCGATTCGGCCCTCCCCGTCAGAGCGCCCCTTATTGATGAGACTTCGAAACTCTCGGACACTCTCAACAAATGCACCTGGTGAACCAGTGCTCTGATGCGGAGGCTGGGACCAGAAGTGCTCTCCCATGCCGTGTATGCAGAAGACCTGTAAGACACCAAGAATCGCGAACCAGTGAAGCGTTCAACATCTGAATGCGAGATGTTCCGGCTCTCGATGATACTAGTACGAGTAGTGTTAATCAATTTGCTATGAAATAGAGAGCACGAGAAACAACAGATCCACGCTGCTAGATGATCTCTCACCAGATCACTGATGGGCACCATGGAGTCGCCGAACTCATCAGGGGCGTCTGCCCACCCTCGATCCAACTGGCTTCGTTGGCTGACAGTAAGAGAAAGGTCAATCTGCGGACTACCGTCGCCAAAAGTGATCGTTTGACCACGAACTCTATTATCATCTTACTAGAAGAATTTCACTAAGATGAAGCAAAGCTCCCCATACTCAGAGGGCATCCCTTACACTGCTGAGTTCCACCACCCAAGTATACGTAACCTATCATCCCGCTCCCCACACATTACCCTAGGTATACGCCGAGACCCGAGCCGTAGACCACATAAGAGTCACTGCTATCTTGATACTCTACGAAGTTCTTACCATCAGGAAGGGCCTGATAAGACGGATGTACTCTCTCCGACTACTCAGAACCTTCATGATGTCACCAGAAAATCAGTCGAGTCCTCCTTGGGAGCATCTCCGAACTTGCGCTCTTCTATCCACTTCTCAATAGCGATGGAGTCGTCCTCTGATAGAGGCTTGCCTACGGATAAACATAAGTATGAAGTCTCAGCAACACCCCATGTGCTATTCAGAATCCACGCTTCACTCACGACCCGGAGCTGACTCAGCTCGGGCTGCTCCCGATTAAACGGTCCTGCTAGACTTACCATCGACGTGCCATAAGGCCCGTAAAACCTCACTGGCGGCCATTTTCCAGTACCGTGGAGTCACTGCTCTCGACGGCAGGTCCACCAACCAACGATCTCCGTAGACACCCACTTGAGCCTTGACGAACAGAAGCCATTGAGCCAATAATAAATTCGTTGCGTTAATTCTACCGTGTTGTTTTTCAGGGCTTCGTTGAGACGATCCTGATCGGGCTTAGGGAATGGTAGCCACGTCTGATCCCAAGGGGTATTGGATTTCACCACGGGAGCGTTCTCACCCGTAAGAGGGTGGTGCAACCAGACGAAGTCTTCGGACATTACACCGAAGGCTCAACTCTCGTATATTCGGAATCTTTCTCGCCGTGAAAACCAATAAACAAATTTGATCTCGGAATCAACTCATGCTAAGGATGGATTGCTTCAGGGGACAATTGAAAACTGCTATACGAGACATGCGCTGAGGCGGAGCGATGCTTGCTCGCACTTGGAATGATCCTGTTTTGGATTGAGGTTCGATGAACTTCCTTACACATCACGGGCACTGACTCTCTCAGCCTTACGGTGTCCTCATTCATGTCAACTGAGGTTACCTCTGATAGTGCTGTCGCGGCAGCCCCTCTCGTGGATACTGTGGGTAATCAAAGTGTTATTCACTATTCTCACGATCATCCACAGACAACGGCTGCTGAGGTAGCTTTTTTTCAGAGGAAGCGGAGACCCAACGAATCATGGACTTCTTCGAAGCTCTCGAACTGGAATGCACCAGTGGAAAGTTCACAGACGTGAGTCTTACAAAGTACACATATGCATTCTTCGCTTGTCAAGGCCGTGTCCAAGTTCATATTCGACCATGCTGATACCTTCGATGACCGCGAGTTGGACAAAGACATTCCGTTGGATTGGTACAACATTTTTCAAGAATATCAGACCCTCATTGAGAACGAGATAAGAGGTTAGTCTCATCATGAGACTCTCATGCATTGACGACAGCTCGGCGATATTCCCCTCAGGTGTATTGAAAGCCCATGAAATCTCAGATGAGGAGTTCGCTACCTACATAGAGGTTATCTCTGAGAAAGGTGCGGCAGGCAACTTTTCGTCATTCCCTGCCATGAAATGGGTCGACATCGATGTGAAATTGCCAAAACTCGTTAGTGCGAACGGTGTTTGTTATGCTACAGTGCAGCTCATCGATCCCTCCATCTCGCTGGCATTGCTCTGGCTCATATGAAGAGAAAGTAACTGAGTTACCCATTATGAGAGCTCGCCAGATACGACGGGACTATTCGCTATCGATTACATCACAGCTGCTCTCGATTTCGAGGACTTTTGTGTGATGATGTTCCAGCATAAGGTGAGGCAGGGCCCCACGTGTATTCGCATCGAAGAGAATGCTCTACGGTCTAGTTATCCCTTCAAAATGAGTGCCACTAGACTTGCGTCTCTCGGTGGTCGCCTTCAACGCTTTTGAATCGTGATCTCATGTGGCGATCAGGTGATGGTAGCATTTGAGGTTCCCGATGATAGTGAGGAGCTTCCGGAGGAGTGAGGAAGTGAATCCGCCACGCATGCTGATCATGAGCATTGTCGGCTTCTTATGTTTTCTTTTGCGTTGTGATGAGATGCTTCTTCCATAAGGTGGGATTCTCTCCATAAGAGTGGCACCAGAATGGACGTCTCTATGGGTACGATGATGTTGAACCATATTGTCACCTCAGCTAGTGATACGATTCCAATTTGCATTTAAACATGACAAAGCAACTAGAGAAGTATGTACAAACTTCCACACGGAGCTTTCTAACTTTCTCGGCTTGGCCCTGTGGCGCAACGGTAGCGCATCTGACTCCAGATCAGAAGGTTGTCTGTTCGAATCGGGTCGGGGTCATTTTAAAGATTTGGAGACCTGCATATGAACATGACAAGACAACTAGAGAAGTATGTACAAACTTCCACTCGAAGCTATCTACCTCCCTCAACTTGGCCATGTGACGCAACGGTAACGCATCTGACTCCAGATTAGAAGGTTGTCCGTTCGAATCGGTCCGGGATCATTTTAAAGATTTGGAGACCTGCATATGAACATGACAAGGCAACTAGAGAAGTATGTACAAACTTCCACACGAAGCTATCTAACTTTCTCAGCTTGGTCCTGTGGCGCAACGGTAGCGTATCTGACTCCAGATCTGAAGGTTGTGCGTTCGAATCGGGTCGGGGTCATAGTACATATTCCAATATGCAGATAAACATGACAAAGCAACTAGAAAAGTATGTACAAACTTCCACACGAAGCTATCTAACTTTCTCAACTTGGCTCTGTGGCGCAACGGTAGCGCATCTGACTCCAGATCAGAAGGTTGTCCGTTCGAATCTGGCCGGGATCACATTACATATTCCAATATGCAGATAAACATGACAAAGCAACTAGAGAAGTATGTACAAACTTCCACACGAAGCTATCTAACTTTCTCAACTTGGTCCTGTGGCGCAACGGTAGCGCATCTGACTCCAGGTCAGAAGGTTGTCCGTTCGAATCGAGCCGGGGTCATTTTAAAGATTTGGAGACCTGCATATGAACATGACAAGGCAACTAGAGAAGTATGTACAAACTTCCACACGAAGCTATCTAACTTCCTCAAGTTGGCCCTGTGGCGCAACGGTAGCGCATCTGACTCCAGATCAGAAGGTTGTCCGTTCGAATCGGGCCGGGGTCATTTTAAAGATTTGGAGACCTGCATATGAACATGACAAGGCAACTAGAGAAGTATGTACAAACTTCCACACGAAGCTATCTAACTTCCTCAACTTGGCCCTGTGGCGCAACGGTAGCGCATCTGACTCCAGATCAGAAAGTTGTCCGTTCGAATCGGGCCGGGGTCATTTTAAAGATTTGGAGACCTGCATATGAACATGACAAGGCAACTAGAGAAGTATGTACAAACTTCCACACGAAGCTACCTAACTTCCTCAACTTGGCCCTGTGGCGCAACGGTAGCGCATCTGACTCCAGATCAGAAGGTTGTCCGTTCGAATCGGGCCGGGGTCATTTTAAAGGTTTGGAGACCTGCATATGAACATGACAAGGCAACTAGAGAAGTATGTACAAACTTCCACAAGAAGCTATCTCCTTCTCTCAATTTGGCCATGTGACGCAACGGTAACGCATCTGACTCCAGATTAGAAGGTTGTCCGTTCGAATCGGGCCGGGGTCATTTTGAAGATTTGGAGCCCTGCATATGAACATGACAAGGCAACTAGAGAAGTATGTACAAACTTCCACACGAAGCTATCTAACTTTCTCAACTTGGTCCTGTGGCGCAACAGTAGCGTATCTGACTCCAGATCTGAAGGTTGTCCGTTCAAATCGGGCCGGGGTCATATTACATATTCCAATATGCAGATAAACATGACAAAGCAACTAGAGAAGTATGTACAAACTTCCACACGAAGCTATCCAACTTTTTCAACGTGGCCCTGTGGCGCAACGGTAGCGCATCTGACTCCAGATCAGAAGGTTGTCCGTTCGAATCGGGCTGGGGTCATTTTAAAGATTTGGAGACCTGCATATGAACATGACAAGGCAACTAGAGAAGTATCTACAAACTTCCACACGAAGCTATCTAACTTCCTCAACTTGGCCCTGTGGCGCAACGGTAGCGCATCTGACTCCAGATCAGAAGGTTGTCCGTTCGAATCGGGCCGCGGTCATTTTAAAGATTTGGAGACCTGCATATGAACATGACAAGGCAACTAGAGAAGTATGTACAAACTTCCACAAGAAGCTATCTACTTCTCTCAATTTGGCCATGTGACGCAACGGTAACGCATCTGACTCCAGATTAAAAGGTTGTCCGTTCGAATCGGGCCGGGGTCATTTTAAAGATTTGGAGCCCTGCAGATAAACATGACAAAGCAACTAGAGAAGTATGTACAAACTTCCACACGAAGCTATCTAACTTTCTCAACGTGGCCCTGTGGCGCAACGGTAGCGCATCTGACTCCAGATCAGAAGGTTGTCCGTTCGAATCGGGCCGGGGTCATTTTAAAGATTTGGAGACCTGCATCACCGGAACGGCTACATCCACTAACATTTACGTCTCCGAGTTCCCAAGTTGAAGTCTACGCATCACACTGTGGGGCCGCCGGTTGACAATTGACTCCTAACCCAACTCGCGATCCATCGATTCCTTCGGTGAGCACAGGAACAACACACGCTCGAGTTTCATATAACCAAAAGCTGCAATGGGAATCTTTCTAACCAATCGAGTGGAGGGAGAACTGTTCGACACCACAGGGGCATTTTCCTCTCGGCATCAGAAACAACTTCTGCGATATCACCAGCCGACAACCTTCCGTCACGGGCCTCGGGCCATAGATGATGACGTGTCAAGCTCCAACTCAAGGCGTATAAAAGATGGGGTTCGATCCCTACACCATAACGATGGTTAGGAAGGGTGGTCGCGACGAGAACTTTGCAGGTCTTCGATGGGACGACTCGAATGCCACCATGCAGCAAGAGAGCGCATCCAGCATCCTCATTCACATGTCGCTGTTGCTGACTCGCAGCAGTGGCGATCTGGAGACAGCCCGCCTTGCACTCGATAACTGCGATAAGAGATCCGCCAGAGACTATACCACAGTCCACTTCACCGCACCTGAATCCAAAATACAAATGCTCGATGCAGCTACAAAGACACTTTCTCCATCCTCACTCACTTCCTCCCTTTGTGATCAACCCACAGCGCGTTACGACTGAGCTTCCAGTCCGAACAGTCTCGGACTCCCAGTCTAAATGAAACGGCTTTTTTCAGTCGGTTGTCATCCAGACAGACGCATTGCTCGAATGTCTCCCCCGAGACCTGTCTCGGGCTACCCGTGTCGAGGAGCCCTCGGAGCAGCTCCTTCACTTTCAAGTATCGCTTATAGTCCTGACTGTTCTCTATGAACTCCAGCTCCTGGATGAGCTCGCCACGCCGTCGTCTGAGTCCCTCCAGTGCTCGAATGTCAACACCCCGAGCCAGTTTCCGCTTCACTCCCTCCACACAGAGGCGGCAATGATTGAGAGGATTCGGCACCCGCCTTGCCGCCGCAATGACCGCATCTACAGGCGTATCATCAGACAACCCCAGAAGGGCACGCAACTCAGCCACGTGCCGCTGCGACTCCCGTGAACGGTGTTGGGCCACTTCACGACTCAGATGCGACAGAACGCTCCGCCACTGTTTCACCCATTCAACATCGTCCGTCGCAGAGTCGAGAGAAGGGCATTGAGGATAGGAGCGCAGGAATCGTCTTAGCCTCCACCGCTGCACCTAATCAGAGAGCGGGCGAATTAGAAAATCAGTCATGACCAAGCCAGCAAGCGCAATATGACACACTCGCTCACCCATTGTATCATCTCGAATATCATCCCATCAAGTTGCCAAGCACGGAGCCGCAACGAGTGGAGGAGGAGTCGAAGTCCTTCCGGCAACATTCAGCTGGTCAGGACCCGACCAAACCGAGGATCGCGCTTGCCTAAATCGACGTCACACCCTAGACTGTGAACTCAACCCTTCACGACTATGAAGTAACCCTCGTTACTAGACGTTCATAGATCGATAGAGATCAATTCAATACAGCTAGACCCGGGCCATGTGCCGTGGTCGAGTAGTACTGTTCATACCCGTAGTAGCAGCCACATTGTGAATCTTGCGCCCTCTACCAACACCAGCAGCTGACTGAAAATCATCCGACAGGAAAGAAGTCGCAATCGTCCTCACTTGTAGCCCTCGGCTCGGGCTGACCCTTCCGGAGTTTCTGCGCCCTCAAGCGGGACTGCCTGTGAAATCTCGTTCCTCTCGCTCCAATAGCTGCAGCTGAGGTGTACAAAAAGTTTCACAGAGTAGAGGCATAGCGGAGACCATATAATCCCATGCCCCAAGGAGACCCACTTCCTTCACCAAATTGGCTATCTCAGCTTGTCGCTTCTCTCGTGCGGCCCTCGTGTTGAGCAAGCCACCACTAGGTCCTAATATCCCCTTTAATCGGCAGGAAGCAGTACAAAGACTCCTCACCGTAGGTTGGGGGCGTGCGACTGTTCCTCGGGGGGGCACTGTGTGCTCGATGGTCTCTCAGTGGAGGATGAATCGCCCGGGGAGTTGAATGAATTTCTACCCCATGTGAACTAACATGTCCACAGGCCAATGATAATCTCACCAGAAGGTTCCTCATCCTCGGATTCAGCCGAGACTACAGCAGCCGTGGTAACCGCCGCTGCGGTCGCAGCTGTTACATCGCCACGCCCCGGCTCCTTGGTTACAGTCACCTCGCCGCGCACGTTTATAAAATGGGTCGTACTAGACCCGTCAATGGTCGCCCTCCGTGTAGTCGGGATTGGAGACACCTGAGCTCTGCCTCGTGACTTGCACAACGCGCACCCTACCGATCGGGAACGCGCATGATCTTTTCCATCCGACAAAGGCGTTTCACGAGGCAGCCATGGCCCCGCCGGGAGAGTATCCGCGAGACCACCTACTTATAGAATTCACCCGAACTTCTAGCAGTGTAGTAGTCATAGTAGGGCTCACCAGCATCCTCCTCAGCTTCAGCAAGGTCTGAAGCCTCCGTGAGATCAGTCTCCACCGCGCGCTCCTTTTCCTCTGGTTCCGTCCCCTTCTCCTTCACAGCTGATGCCACTCGCTGCTGCAGGCCCTTCTGTGCCTAAATCAAGGCTGAGGCAACACCCATTCCTAATAGAAATGCTACTTGAACCACCCTCTTGAGCACTCGACCGACCCTTTGCAGCCCCTCGTTTATCTTCTGTGTTGTTCGCGACTCCACCGCTGTGACGGAGCCTGCGACAGCTCAGCACCGACAAACTCCATGTAGTAGCTATTTTACTTCTAACTTCGTCTACAGCTATCTTGACGTCCTCCACCTGGTTCATCGCCTCCTCGGCCAATCGTTGTGACATGTCCTCGACCATGTCCATACG